TAACTCTGAAGCATCTGTGAAATGTGTGTGTGTGTGTGTGTGTGTGTGTGTGTGTGTGTGTGTGTGTGTGGAAGGAAAAACTATGTGCTTGATACCTTGGTTTGGATTTGACCAGAATTATTTAACCGACCAAAACACTGAACACACAGGAAATTCGTTGGAGACCTAGGACAAACTGGATGAAGATGATGGGGTAAACTCAAGCCTAGTTCGACTCCACAGAAAGTTCTGGAGGCTCTTACTCCTGAGTTCAGTGCATGTCTGAAAACAGCTAAAGTTTGGGGACCAGACATATTTTCTACCTGTGTGAACTCAACAACTGCAAGACTTTTGATCACAAGACAGAAAGTCACGTAGTGTGAACTGCAAAACCTGAGAACTTCTTGTAGTGTGAACACGGTTTAAACTGCTGGTTACAGTGTTGAAATCTAAAGGTAGGAGTTGTGACCTCAGCTACAATGAACAGTGACCCACGGGTTGATCTTTGTCCGTCCTCTCCAGGTTTGTCCAGACAGGTGAGCCCTACAGTGGTGGAGCCAGGAAGTCAGTGAAAGCTGCTAATCCTCATCCACGTGTGTCTAAATACAAAATACACCCCCTCCTGAACTCTGCCTCTGTTGAAGTGATCACACATAGACATCTCTGTTTGTCTAAAGAAAGAAGGATGCTTCTGGACCTGACACTGATATGTTCCTCTGACAGCCTGCCCCCTGCTCTGAGACAGACATGTGGTATCACTGCACTAACAGTTTGCTTGTAATCAGATTATGGTTGTCCTGAACGAGTGTCTGTCGTCCTTTAGATGTAGGCAGCCTGCTGAGGTTTGACCTGAGCAGGTGACTCCTCTATGTTGGGACAGTTAAATGATGTTGAAAAGTTTCTATCAGAGTTAATTTCCTTTACTTCGCTGCCAGCTTCAGACCAGGTGTAACCCTGGTCAGCAGGATCCCGCAGGAGGGTCAGCTGACACATGTCCAATGTGGATCTGTGGAACACTTATAACGTAGAGACCGTGCCACATGTTTCAATGAGGTTAAGACAAGGCTGAGTGTTGCTATAATTTTGTGACACACAAGCATGATCGCTTTATGTCTCGGACATTTTGACTTATCCTGCCTTAATCAGGATGGTGTATAATTAAGTCACTCAATTTAAAGGGAACTACTGGCAGAATTGTATGAATTGTAGTTTTCTTTACCCCAGAAAAGACCCTTTATATTTAAATACTTTATATTTACATCGAGGGGACCCTCTCTACACATCTATTCTATTCTACTAAAATCAGTAATGTATATACATCTACAGTGTGATTGGCAGGCTTCTATCTCCAGTCTACATCCTGTGAGTCAGATGATCATTAAGGTCACTGTAATTATGTAAATTAATAGTTTAATACCTTTGCTCTGATTTAAACTTGTTTTACCACAGAGGTCTTCAGAAATGTTGTAGCTTTGTTTTTGTCCTTACATGAATTGTGATTTGACCTTATATTCACAACTGTGTCCAAATCACATCAATGTAGACTTCTGTTAAGTACTAGAGACATGTAGAGGGCAGTAAAAGCAAACAGGTTGCAGATCCATATTCTAGAGAGTCATAGCAAAGTGTAAAAAGTAAAAAAATTGGAGTTATTGAGTTAAAAATGTATGTGCAAAAATGGCTATTTGATAATTTAGAATTAAATGTACAACACAATAGCATGAAGGGAACACCTTTGAACATCTGAAGCCGCTGTGCTATTTTGAGTGTGCTCAATGTGCACACCGTCATTAAAGTGCAATGCCAACTGCCCTCTGCTGTCCTACTTCCAAGTTTGTCCAAATCGAGAATCAGGATCAACATTGCGGTCATGTCACTTTGTTGACCGATTAGCAGTAAGCCTGGCAGACTCACCAGGCAGGTTGGGCTAAGCTCCATCTTCCTCCTGATGAACAACTCCACGTGGCGGATAGTGGCCTCACCTGACACACGAACATAGCGCCTCTCCAGCGGCTGCACAGGAACAGGGTAGAATACACTGTATCAAAGTCTTTCAGAAGTGTCGTTCAATTCAAAAATATAGAATATTCAGGAGTCATAAGAAACTGTTGAGCCTTTGAAAGAATTGGCATCACCGGATATTTACAGACTTATTGAGTTCAAAAACCCAGCACACACAGAGTGTATGGCTGCTGGTCACAGTAGATTAAACCAAGAGGCCAGAAAATATTGTACAATTTGAATGACACAGTCCATGATGAATGATGCACTGTCTATCCAACAGAGTAGCTTACACTACAACCTTTTCCAGGTTGTCATCCACCTTGTCTGTATACGATCTGTTACAGTTCACTATAATAATAGCAGCTACGATAATAACAGTAAAAAATGATACAAGTTTTGAGGTTGTTACCTTATAGCCACTAATGCCCTCTTCAGCTCTGAGAAGAAAACCAGAGTAAATGTAAGTACACACAGTGTAAGAAAACAGCACCATCTGGTGACATGTCTGAGCAACTGCATGGTAAATTCATTCACGTCTGCAAACTGGTCTTCTAAGTAGAAGAAACGGTCGCTAGGAGTAAAACTCAGGTCCCTTGGTCTGATTTACGTCTACAGGCCAAAAGCAAAGCACCAGACCTTAAAAATACAGTGATCCCCAAACTATAAAATGATTTCCACCTGCAACACACGGCAAATATACGCACATTAAACTGCAGGGTTTTAGTTTCACTCTGATTGAAATGGTTCTGAGGTTCACAGATAACTTGTGACTATGTTTTATTTAATGGGACATAAAGTACACAACATGAGTAGCAGCAGGGCCTTTTAACAACATTCAAGTGGGTCAGAGCAGTAGATACACAGGTTTAATTAAAAACCTGCTGATTACTCATGGCTGCTTTTTTATTATCAGCTCCACAGCCCTGATATTCTGTGTGTTTACTCATTTGCTTGGTGGTTTAGGTAAGAACCCATACAATTTTAGTGCAGATTCGAATCAGGGGGTGAGTCTAGGAATTTTTTTTAACTTTCATTTTCAACATTTTCTCAATTTGGTGTAGATTCCAAATACAAATCTGGACCTAATGAATTTAAATGTTTCATAAGGGGACTGCTGGGGCTTGGTGGAGGCCTGTGCTCTACTGAGTGCCATTCTAGTTAATGCAAACATTCATCTTCCTGGTGAGAGGAGGGAAATCTCATGAAATATTTAGCGCGTTCAAGTGTTCAAGCTCAGATCTTTTTAGGCTATGTTTGGTAAGATCTTTAAATTGAATATTAATGCACTGGATGAAAAGAAGCTAAGTAACTAGAGTTCTGTGTCATGGCTGGATTAAGAGCTGTCCAATGAGATCCTTACCCTACGAAGTCCAGCAGCAGAGAAACATCCAGCTCAGGGGGAATGGTGAACACAGACTGAGGAGTGTTATCTCTCCTCTGCCGCTTCACCACAACAGGACCTGGAGAGGTGATCATCACTGCAAACAAGAGACAAGAAAAACACAGAGGAGTTTAAGTGACTTTGGGCCTTGGCAGAGGCAAGCACTCTATTGAGTGGCATTCTAGTTCAGATTTTCTTTTCTGTTCAGTTCATTCATTAATTCATTACAACTATAAATGATTGCATCACTTTACAAGTTCAAAATCTTTCTGACCCCAAATTTGATATTTTCTTTCCTAAGAAGATTAATGAGGAACAATTATCAAAGGTTTTTCTCTGACTCTGAGGAGATTTGTTCACCACTGATCTGAGTCAATGTTGTGAAGACTACTCTGCGGTCACCGACCACCAGTGTTCATTCTCAGACAATGGAGTGATACTATGCAGCTTCCTATGAAGCTCTGTGACCAGCAGCTTGTGTTAAATAAAATGTAACCTGAAATTTCAATGTGTTTTACCTGGTTTAGGCACCTCCAGCCCTCTCTCTTTGTAGAAGTTACACATCTGTTCGCGTTCATCTGGAGAGAGAAGAGAAAAGACATTAGGCACATCAGTTATATCAAATGCATCGAAATACATATATATATAAATAAAATGTATACACAACAAAACAGTCACACCATGTGAAATATCACTAGAATGTCAAAGGATTCAAATTGCATTTGTGCAAAAAGTGTTTCGGTTTGTATATCTAAATACAGAATGATGAGAAGACTCCCATTCTTAAGAACCTTGACCCCAAGATGAATTTCCCAACATGATAAAGATCCACTAACCACACAGAGTGAAAACTATTACCGACCAAGCAGGTAGCTGACTTTAATCCAATCAAAAAAACTTTGAAATATTTTCATGTGGAATGTAAAGCAACAGAACTAATCTAGCGAAGAGCAACTGGAAACAATCATCTTTGACCAGCAGCAGAACCTTTCTACAGATTTGTGTCATAACCAGGAGGAACCAATTTGGACAATAAAATATAAAATACCAAAAGAATTTCAAAAAGGAAATCTCATTAATGAGGACTTGACTTTGTTGCAGGTGGTTCCTATGAATAACGTGAAAAGAGAAATGTTTGACTAATGAAACTCTTATCAAACATCCATACAATCAGTTTGGGACAAAATTGTATTAAACGGACAGGACTTTTCATACCTTGACATTTTAGTGACATTAACCGGTGGTGTACTGTGTTTTGTAATACACTCATGTACTTACACTCCTCCAGGTAGGGAATCATTTTGTAAACAATATCCTGCAGTTGTCTGTCAGGCCTGTGGAGGAAAAAAGCATTTGAGGCTGAATAGACTGCTTCACTATATAAACACCTGAGTGGCAGCATATAAACAGTCTAAATATCATAAATAGGACCCAGTTCAGGTGCAACACATGTAGAGACTATTTAGTTCCCTGTGCAACAAATGTAACTATTTAGCATTTATTCCTGACTTTTAGACGTTTCACATGACATTTCTGGGATAATGTTTATACTTTTTGTTTGTATCTATGCTGTTCTTTACACTTTGTGTTTGTGTGTCCTGGGAAACTGCCTGTTCCCATCTGGGACAATAAAGTAAACTTGAACTTAAATTTCAGAATTCTCTGTGTAAAAAAACTTAAACATGAGCAAGAAAACTAATGTACTCCAGTTTCAACAATAAATTGTGTTTTTCCGCTCTCTGACTAACTTCAATTCGACTGTCAAAAACCCATCTGACAGCCACTTGCTTGATTTAACAGGTTTAACAGAGAACGTCAAAAGTCATCAAGCACCAAGAATGAGCACCTACCTGATGTTGTAAAGGGGTTGACTTTGATGGACCACAATGTTGCATGTGGGACACCTGCTGCTGTAGAAGAAGTGCTTCACGATGCAGCTTTTGCAATCTGAGAAAAAGTAAAACCGCACAATATAGAGCAGGAAGTCAGGTATGTGATGCAGTCAAACTGAAAAGGACTTTTGAGGCTGATATAAATATGAATACGTGAATAATCTTGTGAATATGTTCAAGCTTATATTCATATTTATAGCAATACATAAACATATCAGATAAAGATCCCTGAAAAGAATAGTGATCAAATCATACAATGAGCAGGACGTTTTTCAGTTGAAGATGACACAACTGTGTCAGTTGCTTCTATTGGACAAAAGTTCAGTCTTGGAGCCCATCGGCTGTTGTCTGGCTGTGAATTAGCCTCTAGGGGCAACGGTCAATATTTTGGGGCTTCAGCTGTAGACAGCAGATATCTGGGCCAAGACTCAACCTTCTGTTCACCATACACTGTTTACAATCTGAGTTCCTTTTACACACGAGTCTAACATTTCTCCACACTAAACACAAACAGTGATACTTTTTGTGGGTGTTTTAGGTTTTAACATTTTTGCTCATCTCTATTAAGAGCTATCAGAGTATGAATACAGATAAATTAAAAAGCCAATAGCCGAAGCATTTCGGTCAATGTGTTCAGCCTCTTTGCTCTCCATGTGGACTGTACAGCAGGCAACAAAGGGCTGCTCACACGTGATTGGTCAAAGTAGAAATGGAAACCAGAAGGCTGTTTGCCCCACACTGTTGCCCCTCACCTTCAGATTCCACATAATCAAATGTAAAATCTATTAATAGACATTAGACCAGGTTGAATTGGATTAAATCTTTGGTTCTGATAGTCAATTCTCTTGTTACTCAATGGCAAATATAAATATAAATATATGCATATATAGAAGTATCTGTAAAACGGTGATATTGGCCAACAATACATTGTTCCAACCAGTTTATCGGCTAGTGTCTTGAATACGGTGTTGTTTAACTCTGGTATATGTTGGACACCGTGTCAGGGGTTAAATGCATCCCAGGTTCAGACCCATATTTTACACCATTACACAAAATGTTCCATCTCCCTTACTAAAGGTTTCCAAAGAAGAAATTGAATCAATGCATATATGTTTTTATGCACGCAGAGTTGAAAGTGTTCAGGTTATTAGATTAGTTCAGGTGGAATCACTTGAATCTTCTCACAGTCTCTCTGAGGACTCCAGGATCTAGACGACACCTGTGTCGTAACTTACATGTGTGCAGACACTCTGTGATGGTGGTGGCGTCGATGAGGAAGCCGCAGCACAGGGCACAGCGGATGTATGGATAGAACTGGTTGAGGGGGAGCTTTGGCTGTTGAGACATGAACATTCACAGTGAAGAGACACAGCTTAGAGATATCCATGAGCCTGCATTTGGCTTGGTCACGTGATTTAAGGGCTGGTTCAAAAAACTACATGAAAAGGAACAAAACTTTAGTGCTGGATTTAATACAAACAGTAACCAGCATAAAGAGGGCCGGAAGAGAAATGACATTCATTGGGATTACCTCTCACATTGGTGTGGATGGAAATGAGCTGGCAGACAAATATTCAATAGATGCATCAAAGAAAGGGAAATGAGCCGAAACTAAAGGCATAACCAAGTCAGACACGGAAAAATTAATGGCAAGAGCTGTGGGACGAGGAAATCATGTCTGGTATGACTCCAGCATTCACAGGAAAGTAGAGGAAATGAGAGGAAGCAACAGAAGGAGCAGGAGGAGGACATCACATCTGGAATGAGATGTTAGACTGTCCCAGATACCAGCAGGAGACACATTCACTTCAAGGCACAGAAGAACCAACAGGGATGAGAGGCTCAGCTGCTGCAGGACTTTATTCAGGGTTTTAGAAAGATCCGAAATTAGAAAAAGAATCCAGTTCGATTTAACAGCTGCTCTGGTGTTCACTGTTTCCCAGAAGGTGGCAGAAACGCACCTGTTGCTACCACCATTAAAGAACAGGAGGACTTTGAGTGTGTGATTCAGTGCAGGCGTCAGCTCAGCGAGCAGCACAGGACACGTGGTAACATCGACTATGAGTGAGGCAGAAGAAAAGTAAGTCCAGCATGAAACGTACCTCGGTCTCTGAATCGCTGTCTGACACGTGCGTTGACCCTTCATGACTCCTGAGACCACCCGGAGGCGATGACATTCCCAACAACCAGCTTCCTTTAGCCTCCAGCTGCAGGGACAAGACGCACAGTGATTCTCCACACGTCGGACAGATGTTATCAGTGTGTGACCTGCGGGGAGTTAGCAACGCTTAGCCACCGGCTGCGGTTAGCTCGCTGCGTTAAAACGTTCCCGTATGAAGCTAGCGTTAAAGTTGCGCTGACTCAGGTGAAAGCCTGTTGATCTGCTCCCGTCATCTTGAATCTGTGTGAAGTCACTTCCTACTTTGATCTACTTTGTTGTCGTCACTCACGTTAGCCACCGTTTCCCTCTCGTGTCCCTCGAGCGGCAACAACAATGGCACTTCCGCTTTGGAACCGTCAGAATAAAAGCGACTGTGAGGAGAAAACGCGTGGGAAAAACTAATGAGATGGATGTTAAAATACACCCGTAGTGTGTGTTCACGCTTTAATTTGATTCGTGTTCAGTGCAAAGTACTGGCCTAAGAAAAATACAATTGTGTAATAGCGTAGGACAGAAGGAATTATGTTTGTATGCTATGAGGACAAAAATCGGTGAATCAAAGAATGTGGAGACACACCGGGGATAAGATCTGCAGCATTATATCTAAGAAAATACAGTGTCTCAGTAATTCCACACACACAGTTCACAATGGCCATTTATTTTGAAGACACAATGACGTATTTTCCGGGAAAACCAACTACTAGATAAGAAGGTTCTACTTTGATTTCACCAGCAGGGGGGGCTGTAAACATATAAATGCAGCCAGGGCAAAGAGTCCCTTGTTTATTTATGGAGGAGCAGAAGTCATCCCTTTGTTTCTCTTGAATTTATTACTTTGTGTTTCAAACCCATTTATTTTTATCCATTCTATTGGTTTGTATTTGTGTCATTAGTTAAAGCTTTGGATTGTTATTTGCAGTAAACAACCCCTGAAAAATGGATTAAGATGGCTGAAATGGATAAGGTATAGTTTCACAACTGCACAACATAGCATAGCATAACAATCTGGATAAAATATATTCTCATTACAGGGCTGAGGAAGGACTAATCATCTTTGAACCACAATTGACAGATCAATGTGTTAAAAACATGCTTCACACGAGGACACAATCTATTCCCACTGTGTTACTGTCTCTAAAGGGCTCTGTGAAGCAGCTTGGGCAGAGGTTCAGATAAAAAAGCACCAATAAAAAGAGCTCTATTGAATGAAACTTTTTACAGTGTCAGAGCAGCACCGATCTTCCATCAGGACACATTCAATTCAATTTTATTTGTACAGCACCAAATCATAGCCCACATTATTTCAAGGCACTTCACATTGAAGGTCAAGACCTTAAACATTACAGAGAAACCCAACAGTTCTCACAATGAGCAGCACTTTGGCAACTTTAGAGAAAAAACTCCTTCAATAACTGGAAGAAACCTTTAGAACCAGACTCAATGTGGGCGGCCATCTGCCTTGACCGGTTGGGGTGAGTAGAGAAAAATGGAGAGGAGAAGAAAGGTGGGTGGAAAAGAGGGGAGAGAAGAGAGAGACAGATGGGGAGTGGGAGAGAGGGGGGAGAGAGAGAGGAGAGAGAGACCAGGAACAGTTGTGTAACCATCATGTTTCAACTCTGACTAGTTGTTATAATGAAAACAATAAGAGTGATGGTTTTTAAAAAATAAAAATAATAATATTAATAGCTGTTGTTGTCTGAATCCTGCAGCTCTGAGAGATACCTGCAGAGAGAGAGAGAGAGAGAGAGAGAGAGAGAGAGAGAAAGAGAGAGAGAGAGAGAGAAAGAGAAAGAGAGAAATTACATGTACTCCTTATTTATATTATATTATACAGGACAGAATCTCAAGCATTATAGTGTTTTTAGTACTGCAGCAGATAAACGTGTAAGGCAGATAAAACAGCTGATAACTTGTGCTGGTCTTTCTGTGTATGAGAATAGAAACTTGTTTGGTGTCTCTAAGATTTAATAGACTCAAATGTAAGTTTCATGGCAGGAAAACTCAATAAAGCATGATGTATATTATGTTGTTTTATATGTGGGAGGTTATAACCTGTAATTTTGCTGCTTAACAAAATGCCAGATTGTTGTTAATGCTGTCAACTGTCCATCATAAGTCTGTTTATCTCCTAAAAATCCTGCATTTTTGTTAAATCAATGAGTTTATGTGCTGAACACCATCTGCTCGCTAATATCTGGGGCTTCTCGCAGGCAAATATTTACTTTTGAGAGATTTTCTTTGTGAAGAGCTGTGGACTACTTTCTATTTGCCAAAGGATGTGTCTCTGGGGACATACACTTGAACTTGTCAAACTGTGCTGTCAGCTTTTAAACTTTCAGTTTCTCTGAAAGTCATGCAACTTGTCCCTGTCAATAACGTAGCAAATCGAAAAATGCAATCATTGCGCTCTTGTGCAAAAATCCTGTTGTCATGACCCAAGTGGAAATTTCCAGATGCCCTCTCATTGTGTGTAATAGTTTTACCTGTATAATCACTTCGTACTTGTTCTGGAGACATTGTTCTCAAAGATGACATAACTTGATTTAAACTGTTTGCTTCTGGTTTTTCCCAGAACGTGTACTAAAAATATCTTCTGAGATTGTTTACGTAGATTGCATCTCAGGAAGAACATTTGGGGCGTAGACTGTTCACAGTTGACCTTCTGATTCAGCAGGGCATCTACGTACCTGACTGCTGCTGGCAAGTTTACAGGTGGTGAGGTGGATTGAGCTCATGAAACCTCAAAGATCTCGAGGTCTCCTTTTTCTTCTTTTGAGAAAATCTATTTTATTGAGTATCAATGATTCAATGTATCCACAAAACAGGAAATGAGAAAGTCCAAGAAATAATGCTCACGTTTGTCTTGTTTTTTTCCAACCCCTTCTGAAATCCCACTCAAACCTAAGTCGTCTCTGGGAGATGGACGCAACAAAAAAGGGCAAAAGCAAAGACACACACTAAGTGAAAAATAAGGTAAAATGAAATCAAATAAAACAATTATTAAAGGAAAAAAACAAAAGGATACCTTTTCTATGAGGGACAATAAATGGTTCCAAACGTTGTCAAATTTCTTCAGAGAACCTCCAAGAGAAAACCTTAACCTCTCCAGCTTTAGATTGTGTAGAAGCTCTTTGATCCACCGATCACAAGATGGGGGCACAGTGTGCTTCCAGTTTAAGTCCATATCTGGCACAGATGGAGGAGTGGTGGACTAATTCAAGAATGAGTGAAAGTTTGTGTTACATGTAAATAAATTCCCTCAGGTAGATTTCATGGTACAAAGAAGTGGACAGACGGATGGACAACCTAGACACATAAAGCCTCCAACCACTGATGAGAAGAAGTGGCTGTTGAAAAGAAATGGATATACAGTGTAGTTCTGAGGGAGGATGAGGTTCTTCTAGTGTCACTGCAACAATTACATGAAACACCCTGAATGACTGTGAGCATGGCAATGTATATACAGAACAGTGCATCTTATTTGACAGTGTAGAACACAGTATGGAAAGCAATAGAAATCTAACAATTTGGGACTTTTTAAATTGACCCTTTATTTTTCTCATGGCTGAATGAGGACGGTCTTTGGCACATCAGTGCCTTGAGCTACTGCTATAATGTTTACAGTGACAATATTAACTTGTAAAATGTTCAGCATGTTTGTTATTTTAATTTTGCTTGTTAACTTGCTAACAATTGCTAAATGTCACCACACACAGTAGAGCTGGGGTGTAGCTGTCAGTAATGAACAGGTATTTGGTTAAAAAAAGTATTGCTCTACTCGGTATTTTGACGAGATGATGATGGCACAAGATGAAAAGTCACCATAGTTGGTTACATCCTATAAAATTCAAGTACCGCGCACCTGAAGTGTAAATCAAACAAAATCGAAAATACAAACGCTTGGTTTGTCTTGTGTTTTCTCATTTGTTGTTTTTGTGATTTGCTGGTGTGATTTTGTTGTTGTGTTATTTTGTTGTTGTGTTTTCCCATTTGTTGTTCTGATTGGCCCTTCGGGGCCAACATAATCAAGTAGATGTGGAGATATTTCATGGCAATCATGGCAATTGCTGGGATATTTCAATACTGCACAAAGACCAACATTGCCTAAAGGCTAAATGTTAATGACAATGGTGAGCAGAGTAATGCCTGAAAACCTGCCTGTGGAACATCACTACAAGGAGAACAACTTTTTTGGCACATTTATATATCACAGGCTGCATCTTATCAGCGATAATATTTTGTAACTTTTCCATTCACAAATAAACAACTTCAGGTATCAACAAAAGACTTGGAGCCGATTGACTTTATCAAAACACTGATTCTGTATTTTTTTTCAGAAATAGAAAATTCAAAGCATTTACAATTTGCACAGTAGTCATAGTGTGTTCCAACCCTTGGAGAATGGTGTTCGTGGGGCACCTCATATCCGTGCAGTGTTTTTATTCATATCAGTACAGAGCGGTTCTTAGACGTCAGGAGCCTTGATTCATTTGATGAAGAGCCAATTATGAAACAAAACAGTTAAAAATAACTTAAAAACCCTGTGTGCATTTTGTGGTTAAGTCCCTTCAGACCCTTGTTGTAGCTGAACACGCATTCGACAGCACGTAGCTGTCTCTTCTCTCAGATCCCACATGGCTCCGATGTCTTGCCATTTAGGGCTTCATTACCTTCATTTAGTTTGGCAACACACTGTGGGACGGAGCTGATTGACTGTCAGACAAACGAAGATTACAGCCAATACACACACACCACAACATTCTATCTAAAGTTAGCAATTATCCCGTTTTGTTCAATTAAACAGGATTCTGGTTATTTTGATTGTAAATGCTCTACATCTGTCACGACAGTCTCTGCATTACCCATCAATTCTGGGGCAAGAACAGTTCTCCGAAGCTGGTGTTGTCTGGTGGTTGAATCTTCCTCTTTCCGAGCTCCAGCCCCTTAAGTTGAGGCCTAAGACCAAGACACATCACATTTGCATGGAGCTGCAGATAATTATGGGCCAAACTGTCATACAAACATGTCTCAGAGGCAGAGCTGCTCTGGAGGCAGGAATAATCTCATTAGCTGAGTTACAGAAGTGACACTATAACATCCTGGAAATCGCTGAGGGCCCAACACAACTGTTTTTGTCCCATAGAAGGAGTGTTTCTTAAGATGTTAGTAGATCATCTGACTCCACATTCAACTTGAACACAGCGGAGAGAAAAAAGACAGTAAACCATTTAGAATATGTATTAAAACGTGGTCAGATCCTCAGCCGGTGACAGGGGGCTGGTTTCTCCATAGTCTGACAATGACACCATAGCAACAGAATGTACTGCTTGTGATGATGCTGTGAATTTGACGGTCGTGAGGAATGCTAAATCCTTGATGCTGTCGTGTTAATGTCACAGCTCCACCCATGTCTCTGCCTGATGGATGATCAAAGCTAAGTGGATTAATCATAGTTCTAAAGGTTACTGTAACTTCATCTAATATTAAACTGAAGACCACTAAGCAGATGTGCTTTTGCTATAAAAAACAAGAATAAGACTATACAAATATAAACATCTAATCTGTGGTGTGACCCAAAGATTAAGAACGAGCCTGTAGCTTCACGGCTCTCTTGCTGTCCAAGTAATCTTCGGCCGTGCAACAAAAGTAACTGGAACTTTTGGACCCCAGGAACTTTCTCCAAGGAACTTAAAAGTTTCTTTCACACCTGTTCACCACTGTTTCCACCACAGTCTACATAGACCAGGAGAGATGTGTGAACAACCAATGGCTTCAACAAGCTGTTCCACTCCAGTCGACCAGGAGGTCACAATGCAAACGATTATACAACAATGATGAAACTGTAACAATTAAGCAAAACAGCAGTAAACATGGAAGATATTCAAACCATACTGCTGAAAAAATATTGCAGGAATACTTAACCAATCAGTCCTCTTCCAAACTGCAATCCCTACCACACCTCTCTACTTTTCCAAAGTACTACCTCCCTTGAAGGGGCGTTTTTTGGGATAAAAAAGATTTCCACTGATCTTAATTGCGACCCAGTTTCTGCAAAGTTTCCTAGTTCCTGTGGAAAGCTCCTCCAGCTCCACTGGAACACAGGCTAGGAGTTATCAGAACAAAGCTGATAATGTGCCAACAACACTGTCATCTTACACGTGTCTGGAGTATTTGAGACACTGATCTTCAACAAGCACTGCATCTCTGTGTATTTCAAACCCAGCATCACACTAGGGCATGAACTGCCCAGAAGCCCATACACCTGAAAAATACATCTAATGTCTGCTGTCCAATGCAGTCAGGAATGCACATATGGGTGAAACAATCCAACCAATAAACACATGCATGGCTCACTCATAACAGGAGCACACTCTTCACGTGTTTACTTACACCTAAAGAATAAGTCAAAGTAGAGAACCCACCCCCCAACAGAGGAGGAGGTCCACGACACCACCACCTACAATGCAGTCCTTTCATTCCTTTCCGGTGAATTTAACCAACATTCACATTTCACGAGTCCAACATCAAACAACTGTCGTTACAACAGCCAGGGGCACTAACGAACCAAGTCATATAATTCATACTGACCCCACCATAGTTAAATACCTGGGGCTCCTCAACAGTCAGCTGTAACTGAAAAAGCGTCTTGGACGAGAGATCTTCATCAATTAGTAACTATCTAAAACCAAGCACGCCATTCAAATTTTCTTGGATAAACACGACATGGATGACTGAGAATCCTCCCAGATTAAAAGGTTAAATCAGAAACTCAAATAAATTGGCAAAACCTGGCAGTTGAGCACACACAGCTCTTGTCATTGTCCTGGCAACTAAAAAGTTTTAAATCCACCTATACAACATGTACAGAATAACTGGGATTAGCTCAAAACCAGTAACTCAGTCTGAATTTGATTTTAGGGCCCTTCGGAGAATCTGCAGCTTTAAGGCACTTGTGCATTAACGCAACCTAGCTAGGGTATTGGAAATAGAAGCATTAATCCATTTATTGTTGGAAAGTCTCTAACATTACCGGATCTATCTCAGTTAGCTTGTTAGGTTATTTAGTTCCAAATGTCCAGTAAATAAAATGTCTTCTTCCACAGTAGCTCTGCCTCAAAATGCTTTACTATTAATACAGTCTGTTGGACAGTGAAACAGGACCCTCTATAGTGGCACGTGTCAATTTAGTGGAGAACGTGACGTAATGCTGGACATGCGTTCCCCTCTCAGACCTCCAGGAGACTTTGTCGCCGCTCAGATGATTGTGCAGGCTGGAGGCGACATATGGACTTGTTGCACATGGGACAGACGCTGCGGATTTCTAACCATTTTAGCAGACACCTGGGAAAAGTAGAAAGATGAAAGACATGATGCATTACCACATTTTGTCATTTCTAAGAAGGACAAAGTATGTAAAGTTACATTTATGCTGAAACTATCAAGACAACAGAAAACAGAAGTTTCTTTCCAGCCTGTTACCCTGCGGCCTGTGTGCGTACAAAGTAACTCAAACAAACATTTCTGCAAACTTGGTGGGAATATTATTTGGGAGGGTCTGAGGTCTGCATTCTTGATGCAGAGGTAAAGAGCTACAGCCTGCTGTAGTTGTGCAACAGGATTGATCAGGCAGACATGCACAATATTTACACAGTTACACAGATGCCGGGGACAAAGGCAGTGAAATACCAGTGAGAAATAACAGCAAACCAGGCATAAAAGCTGCTGTTAACATCTATGCTGCTGGGCAAAAACAGGTCTCAGTTGCTTAGAGCTTGCTTGTTTTGAAACATGCAGAGACATATGTTGTCAGGAATTTCCTCATCATTTTCTTAAGGGCAACGTGAAAAGCTGCTTTTCCTGAAAGTCACTACCTCTCAGACTGCTTTCAGCTGTTAACTTAAAGACAGATATCAAACAAAAATTGGAATTTAACGACATGGCATGGTTATTGAATATATTTGCACACCAATAAGTCTAGGACTTCAAGGCTAGAACAACATACTGTTGTTTTAAGCCTGTTGAGCCACATAATGGATTTACTGACACAATGGCTGCTACAAAGGTTTTATTCCACATGGTTTCAATTGCAGATTGTTTCCATCCACAGCCTCACAAAAATGACATGCATGATCAGTTTGTGAAACAGTTTAACAAAATCTTGAGTTCTTTCCTTTGACTGCGACTTATAAAAACTGTTGCATGTTAACAAGCGTGGAGTCAGATGTTCAATCTCACGGAGGTTTGAATCAAGTTTGTAGAACTTACTTCTTGTGAAAAGCATGTGAACATGGGCACACCCCGAGCTCGTCCTTACTGCGAAACTCTTCTAAACACACTGCACATGTTTGCTGAGAAGGGAAAATGACAAGATTAAAATTTGATCAATACCTTATATATAATAATAAAGTACAGCATGCACTTCTTATGTCATGTTGCATACCTGGAATGAATGTAGACAGAAAATGTACACCAACACTACCCTACTACTAATTTGACAAAAAGACAGTAAACTGATTTTCAAAGGGTTTAACATGTTGTTTTGGTGAGATTTTATCAAAGCTCCTATAGTTTACAGTTTGTAATTAAGTGTGAGTCTTTTTTTTATTTCAGTTTTATCCTTGTGCTGCGGGACACGCATGCCTTCCTGTTTACCCCAGTATGCACATGCCCAGTGTATGTGAGTGGTTTTGTCATGTGCGTTGTCAGGTGGGTTAGTGTGGATGGGGATTAAAATTGGATAGAGATTGTTTTAGTTTTGGAGTGCACTCAGTTGCCTTACTTTTGTCAAACCACAATTAGTATTTATTATGTAATTAGAACATAGTTTATAAGACAGCCATAAGCAATGTTATATATGATTGTTATTGTTATGCTAATTGCTGTAGCTAGCTAAACAAGTTCTCACAAATCAGTAGTCAAGTTATTTTGTCAGCATTTCAGAGACAAATGCCTGAGGCTAAAATAAAGAGATGTTATTTCAGCTTGATAATATCCCCACATAACTAACTAAAAGTATCAGCATAGCTCTTTACTTAGTGTCATTTGTTACAGCAGTGAGTTTGCTTCTGGCCTCATTTTACACACGAGTCACAAACACAGATGAGTATGTCTTATCTCCTCGCCCCATTAGTCCATTAGCATTGGTCTGCTTTGCCTCTTTCAACTGTTGCATAAAAGTGTTTGATCACATTGACTGTGTATTGGACTTACACCAAGAAGGCTCAGTTTCTTCCCGGCTCCTTTCAAAACAACCTGCGAACGTGAAGGGATTTGTCACAAAATGCACAGAGTTCGAAGGAAAAAACAATACACATTATAATTTGATTAATCAGTCATTAACAGAAATTGCTGTGAAATTACCTCACTGTAGCCATACTGTTCTCGAGCACCTCGTCGCCTCAATCTGTAAAGCACAAGACACAAACAAACTCGTCATACCTTAGTTTAGAGTGTGGAAATTCGAATGTGTCTTGATGCTCCACGTTTGTCTTCGGCACGACATGTCTTGTCATGCCTCATGAATCATCTGAAGTCCTGGAATTCACACAATGCCACATTCCACTACCAGCCTCTGTGTCTACACTCACCTTTCTGAAAAATGACCACGCAGGAGAATTCTGACAAAAGTTATTTGTTGTCTTACCTCATTGAAAGTATACACTACCATTATTGTGAGTTCAGTGAACATAAATAATAAAAAAAACATAAAAATGTTCATTCCTCATTGAGATATACACCATGTGAGAAGTTTAAGATGTTGAAAATGATCCAATTACAGCAGTTAGAGGCACCTTCATCTTCAAGGTATCTGTTCTAACTTGTCCATTCGAACTCCAGATTCAGATCATCACTACAGTCTTAGCTGATGCTTCTTAATTCAATGCCTGGCTGTGAACCCAAACTATCTACTGTATCTCCCACAGTCCAGTATGTTTTTCAAATATCTGGTTGTCAGATAATACGATAGAAGATCAGAGAACACCATCACTGTAAGAGCTTAACAGGTTCTTCCTGCTTTTTACTTTGACTTAACCCCAACCCATATGCAGTAGCCTTAGGCAAACCTTTGCCAAACAACAGATAATGCACCATGTAACACAGTGAAAGTCCTCTGCATTTACGGATGACCTTAATAAGTTCAGCTTCTTTAGTTCTTTGCAATACTAAAACCTAGTGTGTTCTGAGATATAAGAAGATCTCTCAGTGTGCATAAGCATGGCCCATGATAAAACTTAGGTGGTTTCAGCTGATACAAAGCAAACTCATGTGAAAGCCAGATGATCTGGCTACCGATAGTTTGATTTCACTGCAAGGGAGGTGTTTTCTAAGTTAAGTTGTGTCATATACTTTGAGCAGAGGGTGTAAATTTGCCTTTGTGTTATTTTCTGATTTTTATATTGATTAATAAGATTAAGCTTACTACTATTCATGTACAGTTAAAGTCATATGTCAAAAGCTGAAGTCGATTTAAAGTCACACAGCCTGATGACACCTCAGGCTTGAAGGTGCTGCTCGATTCTAATTGAATCCATTTACACTTTCGCTGGTACATATATAGCCTAAAGTGAATAATTACAGTATATTGTGTGCAAGAAGTTCAGGTGTGGTTTCTTATGGGTGTTGAAAGATAAATACCAAATTTCAATACATATAGTGACTACATTGGGTTATGAGGAGACCTTCTCTGAAAAACAACTCCTGAAATGCAGTGTAGGTTACAGGTTATTGGTATGTGACACTCAGAGAGGTCCCAAAGAAGGCATTTCACTGGATGTTTGACATAAAGGAGTTTAACTACAATGATGTCTCCAGTGAGAAGTGGGTGAATTTATCTGATCTCAAATCACATGGTTATACTGATCCTGTTTAGCTGTCTGACACTACCTCAGCCTTGTTTTTCTGTCTGTCCTGTACCTGAAGAGGTAGCAGCAGAAGAGGAGGCTGAGCATGAGGACGAAGAGGCCAATGCTCAGGACGATGATGTAGATGTTGAGCGGCAGGTTGAAGAGCTCCTCGGACGTCATCTTGCAGTGGAGTTTGGAGTTCTGCAATCCAAGGTCACACAGACACCCTGAGAGGACGGCGCACAGAGAAAAACAAATGATGACCACATTAGGAAAAAATAATGGTTTGGCTGCAAGAAAGAAAAATTCAATCCAGTAGGAAAATGCAATGTACAAGGTATACTTTCTACAATGTATACATTTAGTTTTTAAACTGTGTTATATCCATTATGTTAATATTTTCATGAATGGCTGGTGTTGCTCAGTATGCAAATCTAATCTGACTGGGTTCTGCATCGACTTTGTTCTCCACACAAAGAACAAGGCGGTCGTGAATATGGCCTACTGTTTGTCATAATGCTTGACACACATTCATGTTTACTACTGCCCTGCTACTGCCTGATAGAAATGTAAGAAAATGTCATTTTTCAAACAGAAAAAGCAAAAGTCAAACAAAGCCACAGTCAGATAATTGCGTCGAGAGGATTGTAACCTACAATATGAGTCATTTAGAGTCCCAGCGAAGCTCACAATGGAAGAATGTATGACAGATGTCAGCGTGAATAGTTTGAAAAATTCATAGTGATGTGTGTTTCCACGTTTTGTTCTAAATGACATCAATATTGAACTGTTTTTTTTTAAATAACAGTGAATCAAAGGTGCAGTGTATCAGCTGTCAGCGACAGACAAACAAAGAACAATCAGTCTGTTCTGCAGCCTCCCTCAGCTCTGCAGAGCAACAGAGCATCTTTAGTTAACTGTGTTGGTTTCACAACCAGCATCTTTTACTGTTTTGTAGAGGGGACATGAACCAAACTAAAAAGTCGAAAATGTCAAATAAATTTATCTCGGAGATTACATTTGTCATTTATGACAGTTCTTATCCCACTGGTGTATGTGCAAGTGCTAATTTTTGCCAGTAAGTTTGGTTGCAATTATCTGATGCTATAAAAATGAGGTGAGATGTTATGATTTACAACTGAGAATGACTCACATTTGGGCAAGTGCATGTATCGGCAGGATCTTGCTACCAAGACTGTACGCCACGATCACTACTGCCCACAATCTGGCTCCGAATAAGATTTTTTTGGCTTAACGATTATGGGAGGAAGTGGAAACGTGTCATCCATCTTTACTTACAGTCTATGGTTGAGAATAAAAAAGCGAGTGCATACAGATTGCTTGTATCTGTTGAAGCTGGCACTTGACAATAATTAACTGACAAGTCTGCCATCAGAATCTTCAAGGGAGATAATATGTCATTATGTTTATAGCTTGTGTTGCCCCAGTGAGGAGAAACCTTGCCACCACAGAGTTGGGCGTGTAGATATGAAGGTTAAGATTACGGTGAAAAGAAATGTCACCCCAGCTGTGTCCCTGCTGTATGTAGACTGTGAATTTTGGAATATAAGCCCAGTGAGCCTTGTCAGAGCCTTTCCAGTGTGTTTCAATGGCCCACACAGCCCTGCATGCCAAAGATAGACCATCATACATGACCTTGTCTGGCAATGCCAGACTTCACCTTCGTCCACCTCCTGTGGCAGGGATGTGGGGTTGGATTTTAAGGAGGTGCATGTGTGTGGACGAATCTGTAACTTGTAGGGCCTGGCACACTGACTCAACATCGCATCTGTGCAGCCTCTTGTTTCAAGCTGCAATGTAATACTGCTTTCGCTGCAGACATTCTTGGGCTGTACAAAGTTTCGGACTTGGGTGAAAGTTGAGATAAGGAGTGCATGTGAGGAGGGGGAATGTGTAACAGTTATGGAAGAACTAAGACTAAGACTTTGTTTTAACCAAGAAGTGAGTGGGAAATGAAGCTGGAGAACTGTGTTGAGGAAATAAATTGACAGATTATTTTCTTTCCTTTTTATCAAAGTTCCAAGTTTTTATGGCTGTAAAATATCTGCGGCATTAAATCCACATTAATCTGGATAAACTGAATTAATCTACAGAAAAAACGGGTCAGATGAGGTTTGTTTCTACAAGTGGTTTCTATCCTCATGATGAGAAGAGAAGTTTTGGACACATTCACAAAACTTAAAGGACACACAGCAAAAACACATCTCCACACTGTGAAATACTTTTCATTCACCGCCATCCAACACAGGAATGTGTTCAGCTTGCATCTCGGCCTGAAAGTAGTTACTCGCTAGAGTTTGGGCTTAGAGACACAGAAGTGCATTAACCCTGAGGTCCTTGAAAATGGCACTTTTCATTCCAGGCGACGCACGTCAGCTTTTAACTGCACTACTTAACTCTTTCTTGAGGTCAAGTGCCACAACTGATTATGTAATGGTGACCTGGTTCAAAGGTCACTCCACAGTGGACAGTGGTTATGGCACTGAGGTGCAGTTTTGATGTACTTTGAGGGGTTTCTGGGAACGTTTGACAGGAAATTTGGCTAAAGAAGTAGACGGCTGTAATCTTAGCACGATGTTAGTGAATCATTGACAGTGGAGCACTGACAGGTGGGCCACTGTGCAAATGAATGTGTTGTGAACAGGATTGTAGCTAAATAATGCTGAACAGGAATAGTGGCTTTGGTTTTGTGTTTTTTGGCTGGAAAACAAAATAGTCCTCCCTTGCTTGGATACTGATATTGGGTATGACTGTCTGATTATCCTTGCCTCACTGATGTTATTTAGAGTGACGTTGTGTTGCTTCATATTTTGTCATCTTATACTAAATGGAATTTTGATCAAATTACTTCTTTTCATTATAAGAATGTGACATGTATATTAGCACACAATTCACTCAGCATTAGTTCTGTTGTGGGTGTAAATATTAAGCAATCACTAATCTCTTCATTGGAACTAGGTTCTATGGTGTGACCCATTTTAACTTAGTGTTTTATAAATGTGCACTCAGCAAACACTCAACAATCGGTTCAGTGTGAAGGATTTAGCGACATCCAGTGTTAATGGTGCAGATTGCAACCAACTGAATTCCCCTGAACCTTTCCATTCCAGGTGTGTAGGCAATTCTACTGTGGCCTTCAGGTAACACAAACACACAAGAGGTCCTCTCTAGAGCCATTGTATGCTTTGTTCGTTCTGGGCTACAGTAGACACATGGTGGTGCAACATGGTGGAACCCATAGACGAGGACACACTCCATATGAAGAATATGAACATAACTCATAACTCCACCACTGAAAACACAACTATTCATATTGTTGGAATTTCTCTAATTACATCACTTGACCGTAACTTGTCATGGTCAGATCTTGCAAAAAGCCTGTGCTGGCACTTACCGTTACACCATTTGACAGGATGCATTAAATGCAGCTGTTCAGATGGCAAAGCTAGAAAGTTGCAGAGGTAATGGCCACTGCAATATCACAAACTCTGGTTTCCACAAGTTGGTTTAAAAGGGGATTGGCGGTGGATAAAATGTCCACTACCTTTTAAGTCCAGACTAGTTGACCCTGAGAGTTGACAGAGAGAGTTATATCCGTGTGGTCTGGAGTAAATAGACCTGATTAGAGATTCCAGTTCTTCAAGGGGACATCAGCCCAGTAAGCAGCTGCTCAACCCAACGGGGACAAATCAGTCAGCAGAGATTATTAAGTGTAAAACATCCACCTCAGTTGAGATTTAGCCTCCCAGATGTGTCTTCCCTCAGCATGGAGACGATCCTGTGGGCGAGGTGGATGAAAAGACTCCAATGTCACAGACAGTATGAGGAAATAAAGTCCAAATCCAATCCAGCGCTCTGGTAAAAACAAAACCTCTGGCCGAGCACGACTCCCTGCTGTTCAGCTTTGTCTCCTCTTCAGAACATCGTTACGAGGCTCCCCCTCTCTCTCTCTCTCTTTCTCTCTTCTCCTTCTTTCTCTCCTCTGTCACTCTCTCCTCTCTTCTCCAGACCTTCACGTCGCTGTCCTCCTGTCTAGGCTGTGCAAACCTGCCGTGGCCAATTATGGAGAGACAAAGGGAAGGACATGGATGGGTTCCCCCGGCAGACAGGCAGTCAGTCAGTCAGTGAGCCTCGGTAATGTTGGAGAGCAGCTCCTCATCTCTTCCTGGGGGTTTGACACACTGCGGCTAATGTGGATCCAGCCTCTCCTCTCTTCTCTCGTCCTTTCCTCTCACGTTCACTCCGCTCCTCTGTTCTTCCTCGTCTCCGTGCTCCACTTCAGTTTGTAAACAGATCCGTGCTCATGTGATCTGCTGTCTGCATCGCAGCTCCGCTCCTCACCGCCCCCTCCTTCCTTCTGTCCTCCCTCCTCTCGCCCCCTCCTGCCCGCCCGCCTGACCTGTCTTTACCCCTGGCCGTCCTGGGTCTCTCCCCCCGCTCTCTGCATATAAACCAGACCGTATATACTGTACGTACAGCTAATGGTTCACTTCCTGCTGATCTAGCTGCTAACTTGCTAACCAGCTGGGCTAGTGTTAGCTCTAAAAATAGCCTTGTACAATGCTGTGGCCTGTGGTTTGTTTACTCCAGCCTGCTCTTCAACACTGTGCAACATTTGGTTCAATAGAAGTCATCGACTGGGGGGAAATGAAAGGGATAGTTCACCCAAAACTGAAAGTGCACTCATTATCTACTCCCCACTCTGTCAATGGAGGGGTGGGTGAAGTGTTTGAGTCCACAGAACACCTCTGCAGTTTCAGGGGTGAACAGTGTTGCACTCAAATCCAATCCAATCGAAGTAAATGGTGACTGATTCTTCAAACGTAAATACACAACATCAACTTTTCACCATACTGCTCCTGTGGTGTCATCCAAGTGTGGATATAAGCCATGACACTCAGATCTGACTCACAGCGGTGTCATTTACACCATGTTTTTTGGGATTTGTCTGCAGCGCTGTTTACCCCTGAGACACCGGAAGTGTTCTGTGGACTCAAACACTTCACCCACACCTCCGTCGGCACAGTGGTGAGTAGATAATGAGTGCATTTTCATTTTTCACTGAACTATCCCTTTAGGCCCTCAGAGCTAATGAGAACACAGTCAGTCCACATTCTTATTTGCTTGTTAGCTTAGCTTGGTCGCTAACAGGAGAATAAGAAAACAAATGTGTTGTAAAGATGTACATTTGAACAAACTGTGAGTGGATCAGCAGTGAGGGGAACATATACTGTGTGTATAGTTTATTCAGTCTATGTTCCACTAACTGCTTGCTCGCCAGCAAAAGGAGTCCACCTTTCAGCTTTTAACTATATATGTGTGCATTACCACTGTTGTATTTACTCCATCTGGTATTTTGTACACATTGTACAGCAGCTTGTTCAATAGATTTGATTGAACTGGTAATATAAAGAGTAAACTAATAGTTAGTTCACAAACTAATACAGTATTCATACAGTATTTACAGTCTATGATCCACTCACTGCTGATCTAGCTGCTAACTTGCTAACCAGCTGGGGCAGTGTTAGCTCTAAAAATAGCTCTTATTTTCTTTCTATGTTCTCACCTCTGGTGTGTTTACTTCAGGCTGCTCTTCTTTTCAACACCGTCCAATATTTTGTTTAATAGAAGTCATCGACGAGGGAAAATAAACTCTAAAGATGGCTCCCCAACGGTCAGCTCAGAAACTCATCACCTCGTTAGCTTAGCTTGGTTGCAAGCAGGATTATGATTTCAAACATTTTATTTGAAAGAGGTGCATTCGTACAAAGGACTTTCATAAGTGTTAAAAGGTTTTACGTGTTGAGCGGAGGTTCAATTCAAATTGAAGCTGACACACACCGACTTGGTGTTTCTCAAGATAGCACTTTACCCTTGACCTGTAAATATGCAGGTCGGAATTCTCCAAAAATAGCATTGAACTTACAGGAGTGTGATAAGAACTAGGCTGAGCTAAGTGACAGAAACCATCTTTGAGAAAACTATACTTGACATGTACTTTGTCTGTTGTGCATGTCCTGTCTGTGGAGCACTGTCATTAAAAGTCAATGGCCAGTTGTTTAATAAACCTTCCACATGTTTGTTTATGAATTAAAGTAAATGGCTCCTGTTCTTTTTTATGGTTCAACAATCTGATCTGTCATAAAAGCTTGCTTTTCGCTAACATCCATATTGGTCTCTGTTCCTCTATGCCTCATGTTTTGTAACCCTGGTACATTGACAGTAATTTATCAATACACATTCTTAAAAACACCTGTCGTGTCCTTCACACAGTGGTAAGCTCTCACATAATATTGAAATATCGAAATAGTCATGTTGAATATGAAATAGTTATTTGAAAATTACAAAAGCAAAACTCAAAAAGTCACACTTTCAGTATATTGAACCTAATAAATGATATAAATTCAATTTTAGCCTTTTACAGAAAGCCTGTTTTATCAGTATTTTTAACTGTCTCTCACATGTCCCACAACATTGCAGTATCCCTTTAAATTACTGAATAAATCATGCTGCCTATCAGATTTTGTTGGCCATAAAAATCACACATCAGACAAAGAATAAAACCAATAAAATCTATACAGTCGTAAAACCACACATCCATGTGTCTTTCTGTAACTGAAGCTTACTTCAGAGCTAAAGCTAAAGGTCTGTCTATTG